ATAAAAATAGATGATTACAATCCTCACCAAGAGATCTGCAAAGAATACACCAGTTTGGTGAAATACAAAGGACGGGTCTTCTCTTTTGTAGGTTGTCCATCGTGTTTACTTTACCATGCCACACTTCCCAACACAAAGCCATAACCTTGGGGGGGACCGGCCTACACCAGACTTCTTTGAAAGGGAAACTCTGATGAGAGGGAGATTGGCAGAGGAACTTGAAAAAGGAACCTCTTTGAAAGGGAAACTCATTTGTGTATTTTGTTTCCATGCTGATGATATATTATGTTGTTTCGTAAGGAATATTTCATGGTAAATTCCATCATCAGCATCACCAAAGCCTTGTCCCAACTACATGGGATTGGCTCATGAAAACTGTTCCACCATTCCTTTCTATTTGGTGCCATATCCCCAGACCATCTTAGTCTACTTTCCCTCATTTATCACCTATTGGAGCTACTTTTAGGTTCCTTTAAATAAGCTCATTTTTTGTCCTATTCTTGTTAGTTTTTCCAATTGTCCATCTAAACTTTTGCACTTCTGCCACACATTTTTTGGACATATGACTTGGGACACTGATGAATTGATGAGAACTTTTAGGTCTGTGACAATCCAAAATTTGTCATAGACTGGATGGTTAATTTATCTGTTGGGAGATTTCTTTTCAACTTTTTTGTTATTTTGATCAGTAAGAAAAACAAGAATTTTGTTAATAATAAGTATAGTACATTACATAGGTGGATAGCCTTGGCTAGCCACTACACCAATACAATACCAGAATGAACCCCTTACATAAAGCAATGGACCCCAGAACATCTTTTCTCTTGTTGCCCCTTATTTTGCCCCTTGTCTTTTCTAGCATTATCATGCATCCATCTAAGCATTTGTGATGACTGGTGACCAAAAAAAAGGAAAAACGAAAATCCATTTAAGCATTCACATTTTTTTACAAACAGTTTTATTACTGTGGTTTATATCATCATCATCATCATCATTATCCATGCCTTATCCCAACTATATGGGGTTGGCTACATGAATCCTATTTTGCCAATCCGTTCTATTTACAGCCATATCTACTGTGGTTTATATGCAAATCTAAAATAGGATTACCATGAACAGGAGCTGATGTCAATTTAAAAAATAATGGTGGTCGCACTGCTCTGCACTACGCTGCTAGCAAGGGATGGTTGAAAATAGCTGAAGTTCTGATTTCTCATGGTGCAAAAATCAATCTCAAGGACAAGGCTTGTTACTTCAAACTGAACCATTTTCTCTTTCATTCAACGCTCAGTTTTGACACTTGTGTTAAAATCATTTTGTTTTGCATTTAATGTTCACTCTGTTTACATCAGTTCTAGCAAGCATGTGGATTGTTGATACAAGCTCCGAGTGTCTACTCTTTTCTTCCATCACTGATATTCTGAGTTGTATCGTGGTTCAGGTTGGCTGCACACCATTGCATAGAGCAGCAAGCACAGGGAATGCAGAGCTGTGTGAAATGTTGATTGAAGAAGGAGCAGAGGTTGATGCTATTGATAAAACAGGTCAAACTCCTCTTATGAATGCAGTAATATGCCATAACAAAGAGGTAAATTGCATTAAATTTTCTACAGTGGGGGGAATTGAAATATTTAATTTCCATTTATGCCATAACAAAGAGGTAAATTTTATTATATTTTCTACTAGTGGGGAGAATTGAATTATTTAACTCCCATTTTCGTATTCAACCAGATTATTATTGTAATGGAGACGCAAGGATAGGAAGAAAGTTCCTTGCTGCCTCCAAAATAAACATATATTAGTACTCTTACATGGATTTGGGTACAAGTATCAGAATCTGACATAGGTAAGTCTACAAGATATCTGATGCAAGCCCAGGAAAAAAGAATAGTGATTTAGGGACTTGGCATGTATGCTTTAATTTTTTGAAAGTTCACTTTTTTCTAATATAAATAATGGAATAATAAAATAATGTGGAAGCATAAATCAGTGCAACTGTGCAAGTACAGAGAATAAATCTACAATTCATTCCCAAGATTCTGCAACTCTGCAAGTACTTAGACTTATTTAAATACATAAATGTGTAGTTGTGTATTTATACAATTAGCTAGTGGCAAAAAGGCAATTAGTTCTACCTGATTTCTCAAGGGTTCTTTTGCCCATTGAATTAAAAAGTGTTAGTGTGGCAGACTAAATACTATTTATTTAATTGATTCTCCTTGTAAATTAGTGTTACAATTTTGAGCTCCAAGTAAATATCCAAATGCTAAAAAAAATAAAAAATAAAAAACAGTATCCAAATGCTCAAAGTACATATACAAAAGATAAGGAGCCGTCATTGGATGATCCTAGAGAGGGCCTATATAAAAAATCACCATGATCAGATGTGTTCAGAACATCTTATGTGCTTTTAAGAACACACATTTTGTATTAGAATTTAAGCTGATTATTGCACACATTGATCTTCAAGGTAGGAAACCATGAAAGGTGTCCTGATAATCCTAATTAGGACAAGTTATGGGGCCCAGCGCCCAGGCTGGTTATGGTTCCTGTAAACCCAAATACAAGTTTTCCCCTCATGGATAAAAACCCAAACACAAGTTTTTGCTTTATAATTTTGTAGAGCTAACCCCTTTATTGCATGAAAGTCACCACACCACATGTTTAAATGTTAGACATCTGACTGTGCAGTTAAAGGAAATCGGAAATATAGAAAATAAATAAATAGTTGTGAAATAGTGAAAATACTCCCTAGTTTTTCTTATCTCAGTCTGTGACTGAGGAAGTAAAAGTCGTGGGAACTGGATGTGGAACCATGATTCTCTGATTTAGGTAACTTGAAGATTTGGAGTTTGCCATTCCCCCAATCCTCAAATCTTAGTTGAGATGTGTTTGGCTGACAGGTATCTCTACTTTTGATAAGGCATGGAGCAGATGTGGATGTTGAAGATAAGGAGGGATATACCGTGCTTGGTCGAGCTTCAGTTGATTTCAGACCCTTGCTGATTGATGCTGCTAAAGCCATGCTTGAAGGTTAAATGGTTGAATACTTCATAAATTAACAGAGCCAGCAAAACCATCATTCATGTATCAGGAAACAGGAATCATAGAAAGTGAGGTTCCTTGTAAAAAATCTTGTTTCTGCTTCAACAATGGTGATTAGTATTTTTGCTTTTATCATCCGGGGTAAAACTGTAACCAAAACCAATGATAAGCTCTACAAGTTTCGTGGAAGAGAATGCAAAAGAAAGAAAGCATATAGAAGAGAATTTAATGGATGGAATGATGACTGAAGCTCATTAGATGCTCAAATATTGAGGTTGGGTCCCTTGACAAAGTTGCTTGCCAAGTGCAAACTGTTTTTTTTTTCTTTAAATTGTTTTCTTTAACCTCTTTTCACATGGTTAAACATTCAAACCGGGACCATAGTGTCAACTGTTGAGCAAAACTTATACTTAATTAGGTGGGTCTGATCAAATGACTGAGGGATTGTTCGTTTCTTCTTAACTCTTATCTCTTAAGAGGAATTTTTTAACTTTAAGAGAAAAATAGTTGTTCCTTTTTTCTTATCTCTTATCTCTTAAAGTGCAATTATACAAGTTTTTGTTTTCCAATGATATTCCCAAAATAGACAAACAAAAACTCTCATATATGGGGTCAAAATGGATATTTGATAATTTTTAGAATTCAGAGTTTAGAACAATATTCTTTGCATTGAGAATTCAGAGGAAAGAAAAGTTTACCAATACCAATATATATCTCTTAATGTAATTATTGCACTTTCAAATGTCAGGCTTCAGAGCAAACGAACAGGCCTCGAGTCGATTCCATTTACTACTCAATCTAAGTTGTGGAAGAATTCAAAAAAGATTGATCTTTTTAAGATTAATTTTGTGATTTTGTCCAAACACCAAGCAGTGAATATATTATTCACTCCACTGGAATATGGGGCATTTTTTCACCAATCCATGAATCATCACATGGTCCCCAATTCCCAATTAATCATCACATGGTCCCGGTAGATAAACAGCAAATACAATATATGTTTGCCTAATTTATAATTTATATACATACAGGTATTCTGCAAAGCCTCGGTTCTGCAAAGCCTCGGTTCGTCAATTTCTTGGTTTCTCGGTTCTGCAAAGCCTCAAGGCCCTTAACAGTCACTACGTCCCAGACTGGCAATGAAGCCCTATGTTGCTCTGCTTCCCAGTGCTGGGCATGGGTCATCTGACCCCCTTCCTTCGTCTGGCTGTCACGCTAGATGCCCATGGTTGTATGGTCTCTTTTCGCCCTACAGTCTCTCTTGCAGAATCATCCCACCTCAACCACTTCCTGTCCACCCACCCCAGAATTCAGTCCCTTGAATTCCACATCCTTCCCTTGGAGTTGGACCCTGCTACTGCCAACAGCATCGACCCCTTCTTTCTTCAATTTGAGGCCATCCGGCGCTCTGCTCACCTTCTCTCTCCCCTCCTCTCTCTTCTCTCGTCATTGACATCCTGCTAGCCGATGCCGTTGCTCCTGTTGCTGCCAATCTCTCCCTTCCCAACTATATCCTCTTCACTTCCTCCGCTAAAATGCTTGCCCTCGTTGCACACTTCCCCACCATTGCAGACACCTCATCAAGGAGCATTG